AAATTTAAAAACAAATAAATACAAGAAAAATAAGAAGTTATAAAATAACACATCAATACTTTCAGAGATATTAAACAGTTACAGATTTCTTTTTTATAACCAGGCTGGATAAACTTCATTTTAGAAGGAAATAATAAAAATTACAGCTCTGGATGCAGGTCTACAATAAATGATTTTTATTACTTTTATATTCAGCGACCCTTTAAAAGAACACTCACACACACATATATTTATTTTCTAAAAGTTAAAATAAAACGCGTTTTATACGGTAAACAGTTTTACTACCACCAATAAAGGATAGCATTGCAGAAAATCCTAGGCCGTAAAAAAAGTTTAATTTCTTATCTGCTCACACTGGTGGAATATTTATTTCCTGCTATTAGATTTTTTTTTAAATATTATTATTCTTGAAATTAGTCAACTGAACATTGTGGCTATTCTGTTCTTTAATTATTTAAAAAAAAATTATTTTACACACGACAGAAATCATACAGATTAAGTCATCTTTAATAGGATGATTCAAAAGTTTGCAAAGTTGATAAAATAAAACTAGAAGTTATTTTTGAATGGCGGTATGGTTGAGTGTGAGACATCTCTTGGTAAATTACATAATCATATGAACTTTAAACAAAGACAAAAAAATAAAACAATGAACTGAATCGCCAATAAGTTTTGAAAACAAAAAATTGAAACTGAAACATACTCACTTTACTTAAAGTAGTAATGAGTCTCTACTTAATATCCGTCTACAGTTGTTGTTGTTTACATTAAGGTTCATTTAGACATTTCACGACCTATGTGAAATACTAATATCTAAATGGTTGTTTCCTTATGCTAGTGTTTCTGATCCTTGTTTTTATGGTTTCCATATACTGTCGATAACAAAAGAAATATAAAAAAGTGTAGAGTTAATGCTTGTTATCAGGCAGCACTGTAGCTTGTAAACAAAGACTGATTTGTCTTGGGTGAGGTTACCCAGAGACAGCAGTAGTCCTTTTTCCCTGATAGTGTGATGTTTATGTAGAGCAATAAAAGTGTGTTTTGTGTAGTTGTGGTGTAAAATTTTATCAACATAGCCTCATTTGTTTCCTGAAGTGATTTCCTGACACCACTTAGAGGCATCCCTTGTGAGGGAAATTAAGGGTAATGAGTACTGAAAAGTTGAAAACTGTCAAATAGTTAAGAAGCCGTTATTTGTTTCCTGAAGTAATTTTCTAATATTAAGTAGTGTAATCTCTTGTGTGTTAGAAATTAAGGACAATGAGTGCTGAAGACTTGAAAACTGCCAAATTAGAAAGAGCTCATTGGAGACATTTATTTACAACTTTAGCTACTTCAGTAGAAAAGAAAATAGCTGAAAATGATCCTCAGTTGAAGAAGAAATTTATAAAACTAGAAGCAAGAGCTAAATATTTATTAGAGTTTGAAAAAAAAGTAAGAGCTTTAATAGTATTTGATGAAAATATTGATTCAGTCCCTCAAGAGAGAAAATACAGAAAAAAAAAAAGAAGGAAGAAATACTTTCATATAATCTTTTGGGGGATGTTGAAACAAAAGTTGAGCGCGACGTCAAGCTTGAAAGATTAACAGGTAAATTTTATGGTGAAGCGAAGTTGAAAAACATAAAAAATTACAGTGATATCTCTGAATCAGATGATGAATGCCTAGAGATATTAGAAATAAATAATATAACATGGAGCGATGGCGATGGTGGGAGAGACAATCAAGACGTGGAGTTGATTCTTGCAGCAGATATCATGGGACAAAACCTGAAAGGAAGGTTAGAACCAATACCTGAAAATATGATGCCACAGAAACTAGGCTAGGTTGGACAGTTATTGGCCAAACTAAGTCACAGACCTGTTCTATGCTAAGAACACCTAAGAGAGGGACTCCTTTATAGTGTGATGTCCTTTATAGTCTCTGATAGTGTAATGTTTATGTAGAGCAATAAAAGTATTTTGTGTAGTTGTTGTGATATAAAGTTTTTAATACACCGTCATTTGTTTCCTGAATTGATTTCCCGACATCACAAAAAGTTTGGCTTAGTGCTAATTTCACCGATAGTTAAGTCAGGTAATTGTGTTACACCTACTTTGTGAAATGTCTAAATGTATCCATAGATACAATTTAATAAAAAATTAGTTGGGGGTCTTATTATTAGACCCAAAATTTACAAATTAGAGCAACTTCTTTCATTTATAATTAAAACTAAGAGTGTTTGGACTAAATTTATCTATCCATTCTCTCCCCCGATTAACTTCTCTGTAAATTTATGTTTTTTTTTTGTTTTTTTATCACTATTTAGAATTTCGTTAATGTATTTTTTAAAAAATATTTTGTAGGTCATTTTTATAAATGTATGTACTTTTTATTGCATGTTTCCATTAACTTTCAACATGATAATTAGTTTAAATTAATTTTACAGAATCATATAACGATTTATAATTCAAACCGTGCCAGACGACTTAGTCGCAAACCGTGTGTGCCAGCCGCTACAGAATTCAACACCAGATGCAGAATGGTCTTATTTTCAACGGCATAGGCGTTGAATAAAAAAAAAAATATTCGGGTTTTGAAAATTAAAATATTGCAATTTCGTTAAGCCCATGCCAAACTAAAAATCTATTAAAATATAAATGAATGAGAATAGTTTTCTTCTTTCTTTGGTCAATGTTATTCAATTTTTAGCAAAGGTACAGCCAATGTGGTGTTGTACACATGTTTAGATCTGTTATTTTGAGTTAAAATTAACTCATTCCTCTCAAAATATCTTGATTCTTGAATTGACTGATGAATATACCATCCAAATTATTCCAACAGTCAGACTACTTTTATGGTAAAATTTGTATTTAAACTTTGATGAAATTATAATTGTATTCGTATGTTTATTTTATTTTAACTGTATTTGTAACTATTTTAATACCCAACTTTACTATTGTTAATTTTGTTTTGTAATGCTAATGAAATGTAATAAGAATTATATTTAAAATGTTTGTAGTCAATTGTGATATTATATCTGCTAAATGAAACTTTATTGATTTATAAATGGTTTATATACATTATTTTTATTTTGTATAACTTTTTACATATTTCAATTTCAATATTGTGTATTGTAATATTAGTTAAGATTCATGTATCATCAATCACTATAGTTTATTATATACCATTACCTGGTGCATAATACTATATATATGATTGTATTTTAAAATTTTCAGCTCTGATGATGACCCACATTTTTAGGATGAAACGTCGGCACAAATAAAAATTTTGTATAATGACGGTGTCCTGAATATTTATCACCTATGATTCATTGGTTTTAATTTAGATGCAATTTCATTATGATTTTCAAATAATTGTTCTAAAATATTATGATACAGAACGAAAATTATCTAGATGATCGAAAAGTAAGAACAATGTTATATAGAAAAATAAATAAAAACATAACAAATTTTCTAAAAGAAGAAGGATTAAAAGAGGATAGGTACTTTTCTGTAAGATAAGAAAATGATTAAGACGGAAAGTTAGGACAGTGCCTATCGCCAAATGCATCTTCGTGAACAACTGAGCTGGACTAATTTACAACTGCCGGCTGTACACGCTAACTGGTCGTACTACAGTATCCCGACCCACTTTGTCATGTCCTCAATGCTTAAACCTTGTCGGGGTATCAAGACAACCTTGTAAAACCATTAGGATTGGATCCATCTAACAACTCGTTCTGAGATAGTTATAGCTGATCTCAATCGACTAGGACACAAATAAATTAAACATTTGATACCTTTAACTGTGCATAAGAAATATAACTTTTATTTGTAGGGGGATCCTACATCATGACCATAATATCCCATTTGTCTTGACCTTACCCCTGAAATTGTTTTCAAATTTCGGCAGAACCTTATAAATCATCCAAATCTCCTAGCACAACCAATATCTAGTTCCACTCATCTTTACAACCATCCTCGAAGGTTGAAGCGGCAGTGGCCCAAAGATCTTTTGTAATATATATCTTGGAGTTCTGGCGATGGTAAGATTATCCACTCAAGACATGAGTGTATGTGGCTAAAGCGCTCTCGCTCAAACTTCACTGGCTTTAGCATCAGTGACGCGGTTGAGAAGGTAGCATGTTATTGTCATGAAACCTAATTTCGTTGTTCATAGTCCGTGTTACAGACTATTTTCGTTTATCAAATTATTATCATCAGCCTAAAACTTCCTCAATGGCTCCATCTCATCGTAACCAACAACTTTTTTATTTACGATAATTCTTAAAATTGGGGCAAACTTTTCTATTTAACTAAGTACTAAAAATCCATGAATACCACCCATTTGCTTTCCACTTGAAGATAATTTGATCACAAAATTGAATAACAAGGCGGCCTACAAAAATATTGGGCAGTTTGGCGTGACCTCCACTCCACTCCCAAAATAACGACGTTTGAACTATAGGCCAAATACTGATTTGATATTTATATAAGTAGGAGTCAGATTTTCAAATATAATAAAGTATGTAACAATATGGTCACATGTATGAAATAAAATAAGATTTATATGTAAAAATAAGGCTAAATATGAACGAAAATTGAAACATATGGCAAATATTTTTGATTTTAACTTAAAGATATCAATCTGTCAATATGGTTGTAACCTCATTTTGTGCATTATTAATTTAATGAGCTCATTTTTGATTCCATTCATTTATACATAGATGAAAATTTAATATTTTTTTTATTATTTTTTTTTATTGAGTATTAATATAGTCTGTCATACCGAAGGGCATTCTTATTTTCCTTTCTTATGTACATATTGTGTTAATGAATACTATAGTGATTCACACAATATGTACACAAGAAAGGAAAATAAATAACCAAGTAAGAAAGAAAAAAAATATATATATACATAAAGATAAAGTAATATACAAAATAACAGATTAAAGTCGAATGATAATAAAATAAATAAAACACATTCACACCATATGTACAATAAAAATTTAATATTAAATTTACGCAATCGATAAATAATATTAGTTCAAATTAGTTTTTCGTTACACAAGTACAAACTGTGATGTTTGATTTAATTTATGTCTTTGCCAAAATTTGTTCATTGCTAATTCCCAAAGTGAGCCCTCCAAGTAATAAATGCATGAGCCGACAAGAACAGGCACCGGGGCGGGATGAGGTAACGATTCCGGGAGGCCTTGATTAATTTAGCGGAGAGGAAAGAGATAGGAGAAGATGAAGGGGGAGTGAGTGATGAATGTGGTGGGAAACTGTGAAGAGGATTATGAAGCCTGCGCAAGGCCCACAATCAAAGGAGCAGGATATTGTGGTTTATGGAGCCTGCCCTTTTCTATTTCCCCAACAACCTCGGGACATATTACTCCTCCTCTATTGTCCAACAGGATTTTATTTTTGGAAACGCTCTTTTCCTTCCTTACTAATAGAAACATGTACAAGGTAGGATTACCAGCTAGAAAAAGGTTGTTCTTTGTCCTCATGATTCGTTAGTGTAAAGAGCTAATAGAAATAAAGACACTATTAGAATAATTATTAAAATTCACCATATCTTAAATTATTGTACATTGAACCATATTTTAAACCTTTAAAAGCATCTTTTACCTTTAGGTAAAACTGGCTTGCCCAGCCATCATTTCCTATACATATCTTCCACATTTTGCTCATTATAGAATATACATCAGTGTACTATTGCCGGAACAACATTTAAGTTAAGGTTCATAAGTTCTTTCCTTATTTTTATTATAAACTTAGTCGTGCATTATAGTCACCTTCATTCCTTTATATAGCCCAGCGATCTCCAAACTTTTTGCGACGCGGGCCACATTGAGACTTCGAGTAAGTACCGCGGGCCGCAACGAGACCTCCACATAAGTCCCACGGACCATGTCATGTGATGAAAAGAAATCTTGATCCATAAATGACACTTCAGCTGTGAAATGAGCAATCTAAGAGAAAATAACCTATGCACTAAATGTTGTAGTAACATCGTGTATGAGTAGGCAGCTAAATTTCATATTTGCTAGTAGTCTTTCAAATTTCACTATGTAATTGAAAAATTTTCGTGGGCCGTAGTTTGGATACTCCTCATCTAACCTAATGTTGGGCTTTCAAAAATTCTTTTGGTAATTCAGGAACTCAAACAAATTTAAATGTTAATAACATCGTTCCAGCTTGTCCTTCTATAGGTGCAGAAACAAGCCTGGTTCGGAGTTTCCTCGCCTGACTGTAAATAGTATAGTGCACAGGTATGTCTGTGTTATTTTACTAATATTTTTAAAAAATTAACTGTACCACTAGAACCCATGAAGGGTCTTGGGTTTGTAATTGTAATACTTTGTAAGAAAGTACAATTACTAGGCCAACGATTGTGCAGAGAAGTGATTAGACCAGGATCACGCTCACCGTCAGGGTTTTCTCCTTAGTTAATTATTTAATTAAGAGTACCCACTTTATAAATATGCTGGATATACCCTAGACACTTCTACACCTGGGCGTCGATCCACGATTGACGAATAATTACATGTCATGAGCCGGATTTGAAGCTGGGACCTTCAGCTTGGAAGTCAGTGCCTTACCCCTACTTATCTATAAGTGTGTATATATATATATATATATATATATATATATATATATATATATATTTTTTTTTTTTTTTTTTTTTTTTTTTTTTTTCACCTCGAGATGTGATCTCCCAGACCACATTCCGATTCCCGATATAAGTACACGGGGATAGGATCATCAGTAGTACGCCCGGTCGATCTGATAATATCGAGTAGGCTGACGGGCCTCACGTACTCAAGGAGAGGGATCTCGGGCAGTCTGGCTTTCCCTGGTGGACCGTCACCCATCCAAGTGCTAACCACGCTCAGCGTTGCTTTACTTAGATAAACTATTGCAAGCGCCTTACCTGCACCGCTACCCCAGCATCATATATCTGTATATATATATATTGTAAATACACTGTTACCATTATCCATTTTGTGATAGAATATCACTCAAAAAAAAAAAAAAAAATAGTGTTAGTCAATCTAACAATGTTATGACAAAAATTTCAAAGTAATTTCTATCTTGGTATACCCCCTTTACAAAAGTCAATATTTAAATAAAACAAGAGTCCTAAAATTAAAGTAAATTAATTAAGAAATTGAAGTATCAATTACAAAAAAATAGAAATTAATGTATCAATGACATCAATTATAATTTCAAATTTTATTACCTATTACAAATGCTATTAGTAGCAAGACGAATCAACTGTTTAAGGCATGGATATCGAATGAGTTATATATAATGATTTTTTTTATGTATATTTATTTGGAAATATTACAATTTGTCACAATTAAGGACATATATAGGAAAATAGAGCAGTGTCAAACTCAACAATACTAAAATTTTATTAACTCAATTTAACAAAAAAATCCTCTTGTTAAGGGTGGTTGATGAAAAGGCAACAAAATCTTGATAGAGTTAGGGAAAAGTATAATTCATTTAATCCTTTAACTCTTTAAAATATTACTTAGATGTCCTTACTTGTTCCAATAAATTTCTTTGCATAAATACATAAATAATACAGAAATTAACACCGATAAATAAATCATAACGAATAAATTAAATCCAGTGAGATAATTCTCCAGTAATACTGGAAATGTCTTTAACATAGTGGCCAGAAATGGCTTATCTCGGATTAATAAACTAGAAACGCTGACTGCAAAGAGGAAAGGCTGAGGACGAGTAAGAGGCTTAAAGCGAAGATTCCTCCCCCCGCCCCCCTCCTCCCTTTCTAGAGACGGCTATTTTACAAATGGAATAATGCAGTTTATATTTTAACCACCAGCAAAGTGAATTATATTCTCTTTGAAATGCTTTATAATAGGTATTTTAGATATAATAAAATAGTTTAGCAATTATTTTTAATTTTTTTTTACTACTTAACTGTTCTAACTTTAGTATATGTACCACCGAAGTATTATTATTTTTCTCTATTATTTATTGTAAATAGAATCCGTCTGTGCTCTCTGAACTCTATTATAAATGTCCTTATTTGAGACAGATTATAATATTTCTCAATAAATAAGTTTAAAAAAAAATATTTTATTGAATAATCTAACATTCTATCACAAGATGTACAATATTTATACTGAGAAACGAGAAAATTCACACTATATTTACAGAAAATATAAATAAAAAAAATCCAAAAATCTAGGAGTATATACAATAGCGGCTTGAAAAAAAAAGAGCATAAAGGAGAAAGTCACAAAGTTGGAAAAACTAAGCTTGGCAGCAGGAAATATTTACAATAAGAATAACCTAACGCAAAAATAAGACACTACAACACGGTGATAAAATCTGTAATTCTGCATGGGATGGAGGCAACGTATCTCCCTAGGCTGAAAAATTACTGAAAATAGAGAGAAGTATTCTGAGGAGAATCTGTGGGATCAAGACACAGGAAGGCTACAGGGAGATAAAATACCAAGAAACCGAATTAAGAATCACAAGACTAAGATTATACGGGCACATGATAAAAATGGACCAAGGAAAACTAAACAAGAATGTCTTTGACAGAATCCGTGAATAAAAGAGCGTAAGAGGATGTGTAAAACAAACGGAAAAGTTGAAAATAATAGACAAAGCCTGGATAGGGAGCAGCATAGAAAAAAATTTAAAGAAATCAAGGTTCTTGTGGAAAATAAAGAAAGACGGAAGGGTACTACGTGGTCAAAAGATAGAAAGCAAAGGCACTCATAAATGATGAGAAGATAAAGGAAGAAAAGAAAAGCGAGAAAGAGAAAGAAAAAGTAATGATATTCGCGTTGTCTAAATGATTATGTAAAAGACTAACTATATATATAATAAATAAATACAATATACATAATAAATACAAATAAAAGTACTTAAAGATAAGTAAAGTAAAAAACCAACATAGACATAGCTATATACACTATTTCCAGTAAGGCGGGGAAACTCCGAACTAGTCTCTCCATCTATGGGGGAAAAGCAGGACTACACGCAGGACCCTGCACTACTCTCTCCACGTGTCACTGGTACTAACGCCAGTGTAAATTGAACGAGAGACCTTTACACACTTTACAGAGTTTACAAACAATCATACCTTCAAAGGAGAATTTAGACATTTCCAGAACTAACAAAAGGTCGTGGAACAGTTTAGCAAATTAAATACATAATATCTAAAGGTAAAGAAATTATTTATGTTTATAAGACTGTTTCCCATCAACAACTTTATGGTGTCATATATCGACTAGCACGCAGAAAATAAAACATATTTATACCACAAGGAAAAAGAGCGTATGGTTTACGTTGAAGTAACGAATGTTTTCTTTAAATATTTGAAACATATCGTGTTCGTATAAACATAAGACGGTTTTAGTCAAGTTAGTATTTTTCTATAATTGGTCCTTTCGTTTTTCCAAATTTTGGATTTAATGCAGTCTTTTACATAAACAGTCCTTTTTATTGTTCATAAACCATTTGGTTCCTATTTTATCGCATTCCTGATATCATTCACTGATACAACCTATCGTTTCCTCATTCTTCTTTGGTGCCGAAAATTGATCAGGAACTGGTAGGATAGATCTGAGACCGAGACGAGTTGTCAGCATTTACAAATTGCCACGCCAGGCCATGATGGATGGGAGATCTGTGACAAAGTCCCCGAATCAAAAGCATCATCTTTACACCCTCTATCCACCCCTCTCCACTCTCAATTCTTCACCTTTACGGATACATATTGGAGGTTATATCTACACAGTATCGTTTTTGTCTAACATGTGTTACGAGGACTATCAAAACCATCAATAATTGAAAACTGTTATGGTAGGTGTTTTGTCGTTTTGAAGTGGATTGTCAAGGGTATCACACATGGATGAGAACATGTAATATTTTTTAAATTAGATTAATTTTTAAATGCGATCCACATTATGATGCAATTCATTTTATCTCTCTTTAGATCTTGATGGATAATTTTTTAAGTAAAAATTATTATTTCTAACCTCAGTTCTAGTTGTTAAAAAAAAATAAATAAGAAAAATCGGCTAGATATTCGAAATTCATCAGTCATTACTAGAAGTACAAAAGCATACTTAGGTGCTTTAGATATAATCAGACTTAAAATGACTAGAAGTTTTACTCAATGTGTTGCAAGATGAAACTTTCATCCATATCTCCTGTTATAAAAGGTATAAATTTTAAGGTTCACCATTACAAGGACATTTAATTAATTACTGTTTTTATTTATTTATAATAAAAAAAAAATGAGGTTTCGGCTTGCACCAGAAACATTTTCAAATCTTTACTTGAAAACGATGGGCTAATTCCTACTTGGGCAAATTGGGTTCAAGTATTTTTTTTTAAAAGCAACGGTTGGTTCACATTTTTATTTGTTTATATCTCAAAAATCACGCAAATGATACTGAACTGTTTTGTATTGTACGTACATATAAAATTAAATGTACGAATATATAAGGGTATGCATGTTACAAACATGCGAATTCATTCATGTT